GTCCTCTGACACTCCTATGATGTGAATGTTGGTACACTTGAAGTTGTCCCAGAGTTTCCTTACACTGTCTTCATATTTTTGGATTCTTTTTTCTTTCTGCTGTTTTGACTGGGTGTTATTTGTTTCCTCATATTCCACATCTTTGATTTAGTTCTTGGTGTCCTCTACTCTACTGTTGATTCCCTGTGAATTCTTCTTCATTTCAGTTAGTGTATCCTTTATTTCTGACTGGTCCTTTTTAAAGTTGTTGTTGTTCTCACTAATTTCATTGAAGTTCTCATTAAGTTCCTTGCGCATCCTTATAACCATTGTTTTGAACTCCATATCTGATAGTTTTCTTGCTTCCATTTCATCTCCTGTTCTTTCATGTGCCATATGTTTCTTTGTGTCCGCATTTTGCTGGCTTCCCTGTGTTTGTGTCTATGTACTAGGTGGAGCTGCTGTGTCTCCCGGACTTGGTAGAGTGGCCTGTGCAGTAGGTTCCTGTAGGGCCCAGTGGCTCAGCCTCCACAGTCCCCTGAGCTGGGTCCTCCAGGTGCACCCCTGGGTGGGCTGTGTGCACTGTCCTGTAGTTGAGCCTTGATTGGCATCACTGGGAGGGACTGACCTCCAGGCCAATAGGCTGTGAGGACCAGCTGTGACTACAGTCGAAGAGCTGCTGTGTAGGAGCCGACACTGTGGAGCAGGACTTGCTTCTGTGGGGCTTTGGTGCTCACACGGTCCACCCCTTGAGTGTGTCACCCATGGAGGTGGTGGGGTTGTCAACCAGTGTGGTCCGAGGCTGACCACTGGGTGCACTGGGTCTGGGCCTCCTGGGAGGTACAAAGTCAGCCAATGCCTGTGCCCTTCCTGGGACCACCTGGCACGAGCTACAGAGTGATCTGCAGAGGCTGCTACTCATGCTGGGCTTGGAGGTGCCCAGGAGGGGCCCAGTTGGGAACCAAGGCAGGCTGCTGCTAGTGCAGGGCCTGGGGCTGCCTTGCGAGAGGTGTGGGGCTCGCTGAGGCCAGCTGCTGCTTGTTTGAGAGATTTTAGGAAAGTCTGAAGCTTGAGCCAAGACAGGCCATTCAGTTGGAATTCACTGGAAGCAGCTTGGATGAGCCTGCAAGTTGGGTGGGGCGGGGCCTCAGGGCATCACCAGGGCAGGGCAAAGAGTGTGAGCCAGGTTGACAGACTCAGACAGGGTGCCAGCCTGTGGGCTCTGTGGGGGGAGGGCTCAGAAGAGGAACAGTGGCCTTTGCCAGCACGATTTTCTAGGAGAAATCTGCTCCCCTCCCCCCACCCTGGCCCAGATGGCAGAGAAGTTAGCTCCTCCCCGTGTGTCCTGGCTCCTTTCAAGCTGCTGCCCAGTGCTGGGGCTCAGAGGGAGTGAGTCCAAGCAAGTCCGTGTGCGCGGACCCTTTAAGAGGAGCCGCCTGGGACTCCAGCAGCCTCGGGTCACTCACCACAGCCCCAGATACGGGGACTTCTCTTCCCTGCACTGGGACCGGGGGCTGAAGGGTCTGGTGTGGGGCTGGGATCCCTCGGTATCCCAAGATACCCTTCCCGACGTGGGTGTGGGGCCAGCCTGTTCCTCGTCTCCACCCCCTGCCCTTTAATTCCGATGTGGCTGCTGCTTTAATTCCCCAGTTGTGGGGCTTCAAGTCAGTCAGATGTCAGGCGGATCTGCATGACGGTTGTTCTGTCGTTCAGTTGTCATTTTGATGTGGTTGTGGGAGGCGAGGAACGCTTTAACCTACACGACATCCTGACCCCTACAAAGTTGGCTTTTTTTTTTTTTTTTTTGTGGTACTTGCCCTGAGCAGGAACCAAACCCGGGACTCTGGTCCGCAGGCTGACGCTCAACAGCTGAGCCAAACCGGCTAGGGCTAGGTTTTTTTTTTTTTTTATTGTGGTAAAAACACATGCACTGTTTACCATCTTAACCATTTTTAAGTACAGCTTAGCAGCATGAGATACTAGTTGATTTTCACGGTGTGTTTAGCGTTAGTTGGGAGCGCAGAAAACTCAAAATAGCAGCAGCTCAGACGTGGTGCCCGCGCTCTGGCAGCTCTGCCTTTGTCCCTGGGAACCCGGCGCTGCGCTCCGTCTGGTCCCCACCCGCGTGTCGGCGGGGTCAGGGCGGCGAGAGGGCCCACGCGCTCCCTCAGGAGCACTTCGGAGAAACCGCACACCTTGCTTCGTGCTCAGGGCCCCGTGGACAGAACTTGCTGCAAGGGAGCTGGGAAAAGTGCTCTGCTCTGGACCTGGCTTCCGGTTCTAGTTAGTGGGTCTTGTTGCTGAGGGAAGAGGAGAATGCATCTTAGGGACCCCCCTCCCCCAGTGTGCCACAGCTTCCCTGCCCAGGTCCCATCATGGCGCTGACATCAGCCCCTGGCACCCCACGGAGCTGTTGCTTCCTCCAGCCCCGGCTGTGTCTCTGACCTCCCTGCACGCCAGGGGCCTGATGCCTGTGCACAGACAAAGGATTCTGAGGCAACCAACTCACTGTGAAAACCAGAGCAGCAAGCACCGAGGAGGGAAGAGACTCGGGCCATCTGGTCCAGGTTCCCAGCAAAGTCTGGAATCTGCTTTCCTGCCGGCTGAACAGGTGGCCTCCGCGGACCACACCTGCTCTCCCGCCTCGGCTGCTGGCATCTCCAGCTGACACAGCCCCTTCCCGGGTGCAGCCGCTCCTGGCTCCCTGGAGCCCTCCCATGGGCGCTGCGCTGGCCTCCTGCCTGCCTCTGCTTTCCCTCTGCCGGGTAGTCTCCCCAGGACACGGCCCTCCCTCGGGGGTGGCGGGAGCCCCGGCAGACAGGCCACCCCACTTTGTCCTGCAGCCTCCTGGGCTGAGCAGGAGGGAGCTGATGACCCGCTCACGTTGCCAGGGCTCGAAAGGACTCGGCCCCAACGTTCTCTCCGTGGTGGACGAGGAAGTGACGTGCTCTTCACCGGGACTTTGCTTCTTTCACACGTAAAGACAGACATTCCCTTCACGGGGTAATGTCGTGTGGAGGGGGCTGCGAAGGCACGTCCCAGGTCCCCTGGATGCTTGGTAGGCTTGTTAGCTGACCAGTGGAAGTTCCGAGCTGCCCGGCCGGTGCGGCTCAGTGGTTGAGCATGGACCCTGCACCAAGAGGTCCCCGGTTCCCGGTCAGGGCACATGCCCAGGTTGTGGGCCAAATTCCCAGCGGGGGGCATGCAGGAGGCGGCCAGTCCATGTTCTCTCTCATCCATGTTTCTCTCTCTCTCTCCCTCTCCCTTCCTCTCTAAAAAAAAAAAAAAGAAAAAGAAGGTTCCGGTGTTTTCTCATGGTGATCCCTTGCCCTCCCCCACGGAGTCCTTGCTGCTGCAGAGACCCTCACACTGCCCCGGTGGGCATTCCCGTCTCGGTGGACGATCCATGGAAAGTGGGGTTTGGGGAGGGGCTTCTGTGGCCGCTGAGCAAGAATTCCATGCCCTCAGTGGGGACTGAGATGGTGGGGGGTGCAGAGGAGGGGGAGCAGTCGATGAGTTGGGGTCTGGGCATGTGTGCAGGCACCAGGACTGGTCCCAGACTCCTCTACAACGAGCCGAGTGGCCGCGGACATCCTGCAGCTGCAGGGCCCTCCCAGCTGGACCGGAGGGGAACTGGGCCGTCCTGCCCCTGAAAGGGAGCCCTCAGCAGTCCAAGCCCACGGCGCGGCCTTCCTGGGTTGGCTTATGTTGTGCGGCCCAATGGCTCCGACTTGAAGTCACAAGGCCCCTTCCCGGGCCCTGGCCAGTCCCTTCTGCTCTGTCTTCCTCCAGCCCTGGTCTCTGATGGCCTCTGCCGCTTCGTCAGCCTACCCGCCCCTGCAAGTCTCGGGTTCTCCTCCCTGAGCAGGCCGCAGAGGGCCGTGCTGTCCCCGCGACCCCTGTGCAGTGTGGCCACCCGGTTCCTCGGGGCGCTGTGCCCGGTGGGACAGAGCCCGCAGGTGAGGTGCTGCACAGGCACCGGGTCTCCAGCGCCCTCACGTTGGTGCTCACACTTGGCTTCCTGGCTCCCTCCAGGAAGACCTTCCGGCTTTGCCTCCTCCACTGCCCGGTGGCACTGGGAGGCCCGGCACAGCGCTCGCGGCTCACAGCGGGCAGGACAGAGCGGCCGTGCCCATGGGCGTCCCTGCCTCTGGGGACCCAGGCTGGCTGCACCTGCTGCCCACAGGGGACGGGCGGGTGTCAGGGTGGGTGCACAGGCGGCTCCCCTGCCTTCCGGGGCGTGGTCCTCGGAGGGCTGTGGGCACAGGCACCGCTGGGAGGTGTCAGGAGGAAGGGGAGGTGGTGGCGATTGGGGCCTCTCAGCAAATGCTCAGAGCCGAGCAGCACACGAGCCAGCCTCTGGCGGGCGCCGCCCCTCCCCCGATTTCCCGGCAAAGCCTGGAAGGCTGGGGGCGGGCGCCGGCCCCACGGTGCGGTCCTTGCGCCAGGATGAGCCAAGGGTGGCTTCGCGCTCCCTCCCCACCGGTCCTGTCCTGGCCCCCCGACTGCACCCTGAGTGCAGGGCGTCCCGCCCGCCCGCTCCGGCCCCCTCCGGCCCCCTCCAGCGGCCCAGCCCTGCCCTGTGCACCGCCGGGGCGCACTGGAGGGGCACCCCGAGGGCCAGCTGAGCGGGGTGGACTCCGCGTCTCGGTGCCTGTCACGTGTCTCAGGGGCAGGGCTCGGCCCACACAGGCAGGTGAGTCAGCAGAGAGGGGACATTCATTTATTGGGCGCACGTGTGATGCCAGGCGTGCATGGTCCCCCTGGGGGCGAGGGCGGGGCCGGGAGCGGAGGGGGCGGCAGGCTGGACCTCCGGGAGGCGTGGTCGGGGGGGCGGCGTGGTCGGGGGGGGGCGGCGTGGTCGGGGGGGGGCGGCGTGGTGGGGGGGGCGGCGTGGTCGGGGGGGGCGGCGTGGTCGGGGGGGGCGGCGTGGTCGGGGGGGGCGGCGTGGTCGGGGGGGCGGCGTGGTCGGGGGGGGGGGCGGCGTGGGGACCAGAGCAAAGCAGAGCCGGGAGGACAGATTCCAGCGGGGAGGCTTTATTGTGCGGCTGCCTTGTCCTCCGTGAGACGCTGTAGCAGTGGCGGCACATTGAAGGTCACAGGACAGGACGGGGTGCTGGGGGCGGGAAGCCATTTGTGGAGGCAGGTCCTGCTCAGGGGTCTCACTCCATGGCCCGCCCAGGCCCCCAGAGATCCCTGAGAAGCAGGCTTTGGGGCAGGGGCTGTCTGAGGCTCGGCACCTGCCAGCTGGCGCTGGCCTGAGGGGGGAGGGAAGGAGAGCTTCCTGGGAAACACCTGGGACCCCCCATGGCGCACCTGACTGCCCCAGGCCAGTGGCCGGGAGTCCTCGGGCATTCGGGCCAGCCCGGGAAGGGGCTTGTTGCCTCTGCCCCCCACCCCCACTACTGGGGGGGGCAGCGAGGGCCAGAGGCTCCATTTCTAGCTTCGTTATGTAGGGAGGATGATGGGCCCTTCCTGCCACCCGACATGAGCACTGCTCAGGGGCACAATATTTCCACGGCCTGGGGCCGGGCCCACTCGGGGAGGGACCTCCGCAGTGAGGACGACCCTTTAGTGACGACAGAGGTGGCCCTGGAGGCGCCCAGCTCTCTTCCCGGGAAACAGGCTGCAAAGCTTGGGGTGCCCTCCCGGCTGGGGGTGGGGCTGCTGAGGGAGGCGCCAGGCAGAGGCCAACCCCTCCTCCCTGAGGTCTCCCCCAGGCCGCTGGTCCCGGTGGGCAAGGGCCAGCCCCCAGGGGCCGGCGCCCCTGACCTACAGCCCGTCCCTCACTCTCCTTAGGCCCTGACCCTGGCTTCCCTTCTCACAAACCCCAAAGAAGAGGAAGGAGCACCCTAAAAAGACCAGACAGAAGCGGCTGTGGAAGGAGGACACAAGCCAGTGGCACGTGGAGGGAGTGGGTGGCGGGGGTGGGGGGGTGGGTGATGGCATGCAGCGCTGAGATTCCTAGGAGGGATGGGGTCCTCGCTGTCCCCCCCGTGAGGGCTGGGGGCGGGGTCAGCAGACCCAGGGAAGCAGGGTCTCTGGGCTGGGCCTTGCGACCTCTTGCGTCCTCCGTGGGCCTGGCCGTTACAGGGAGACAAAGCCCAGGGCTTGCAGGAGGGGCAGGCCGAGCAGCAGCAGCGCCCACGAGGTGTCCTGGGCCAGCAGGCTGATGCCCCCACACTTGACCAGCTTGTCTGTGGAGAGAGAATGGGGTGCAGGGCAGAGCAGGCCCCAGGCCTCCGCGGGCCCAGGGCACGGGTGCATTTCCTGGGGGTGGCCGGTGCCTTGATGTTCTGGCTGGAACCGGGGCGATCGGGTCTAATGGGTCCGACCTTCTATCCCGTGGGCGGGTTCTCGAGCCCTTGAACCAACATCGCATCACCTCGTAACTAAGCATCCTCACCAGAAAACCGTGGGCAAGGCCTCTGGTGTCAACCCGGCTCCCAGGTGCGGAGAGGGAGGATGGTGGAGGCCCAGGGATGCACCTTCAGCCACGCCCCTCTGTCACCTGCCCCCCATGATGGCAGTGATTCCCGGGGCGCAGGCGGGGGTGGGGCCTTGTGAGGGGCCTGCCTTACCTCTGAGCACAGAGATCTTGCTGGAGAAGGTCTGAGGCTGGCCGGAGACGCGGAGTTCGCAGGTGTACTGCCCCTCGTCATTGTTGGTGAAGCCGGACAAGTAGAGGACCTTGACGGTGTTCTTGCTGGTGAAGTTGGTCCGGGAGCGGTATGTGTGCTCGGGCACCCCGATGTTGCCGAACAGCACGTGCTTCTTTGCGTCACGGGTCAGGCTGAACTCGAACTGTATGGGCAGGGTGGTGGAGTTCTCATGGTGGCAGTCCAGCCGCAGGCTCTGGTCCGCCAGGCAGGCCGTCAGGCTGGTCACCTTCTGTCCACTGGCCACCTGCAAGACTGGCAGAAGCAGTGCCCCCTCTGAGTTGGGGGACCTCCAGGGTGGGGCCTGGCCAGCGAGGGCACGAGGGTCTGCTCTCCGAGCACCTCTTTCCACCCCGGCCTGCCCCCTCAGGTGTCCAGTCCTGAGCCCCCTTGCCAGGATGGGGGACTGTGGCAGCTGGTGCCCGGTTTCCACGTGGGGACCCTGCCTCAGTCTGGGGTGGGCTCTGGGAGATGTGTCCGAACCACCTCGGGCAGTCGGACCATCAGGTGGCTCAGCGGACGCAAGGACTGAGAACAGCCCTCTGTCCCCTCGCCATCTCCACCCTCGCAGGCTGTGAGGAAGGAGCCAGCGTCCCGAGAGGAAGGGGCCCGGGTGTCCGAAGCCCCGCCCCGCCCCTGCCCGGTACCTGTCAGCAGGAGGGTGACGCTGACCACGGGATTCATGGCGCCAAGAGCTCAGTGCTGGATCTGGGGTGGGAACAGGAAGGGAGTCAGCCAGAGAGGAGGCAGGAGTGTCCACACCTCTGCCGGGCTGGGGGCCCAGGGACACACTTCGTAAGGGCCATGGCAGGCGCTCAAGCCCTTCCCTGCACCCCGTCCTTCCCTCCTCAGTGAGCATGACTGCCAGTTCCTCCCCAGGGAGGGGGCGCAGACACGCCCTAAAACGGTGTCTGCTGATCACTCACGAGCTGGGTGACTCTCAGCAAGCGGCTTTAACTTTGCTGTCCCTTCTCCTTCCCCTTCAGGAAGGCAGGGGACCCCTATCCTGTGATTGTGATAAAAGCCACATAACACAAAACTTAGCATCTTAACCTTTTTTTTTTTGGTTAGTCCTCACCGGAGGAAAAATGGTTTTTAGAGAGTGGAAGGGAGCGGGGGGGGGGGGGGGAGAGAGAGAGAGAGAGAGAGAGAGAGAGAGAGAGAGGGAGCTGAGAGACACTGCAACCCAGGTACATGCCTTTGACCAGGAATTGAACCTGCAACCCTTGGTTCCGTGGGCTGGTGCTCTAACCACTGAGAACTGGCCAGGACTATCATCTTAACCATGAAAGAAATATTTCCTTTATTGATTTTAGAGGGAGAGAAAGAGAGAGATAGAAACATCAATGAGAGAGAACATCGACTGGCCGCCTCCTGCACGCCCCCCACTGGGGATCAGGCCCACAACCTGGGCGTTTGCCCTGACCGGGAACTGAACTGGTGACCTCTGGATGCAGGGTCGATGCTCAACCACTGAGCTACACCGGCTGGGCCTATCTTAAACATTTTAAATATACAGTCCAGTAGTGTTAAGTTCATTTATATTGTTGTGCAACCCATCTCCAGAACTCTTTTTTTTAAATCCTCTCCCTAGGACATTTTCTTTGATTTTTGGAGAGAGGGTAACAGAGGTGGGGTGGGGGGGAGAGAGAGAAGGAAAGAGACATCCATGTCAGAAAAACAGAATCTGTTGCCTCTCATTCGCACCCTGACCAGGGACAAACCACAACCTAGGTATGTTCCCTGACACCCCCATCCCCAATTTGTCATTTCGGTGCCTGGGACTATGTTCCAGTGAACTGAGCCACAGCAGCGAGGGCTCCGGGACTTATTTTATCTTGCAAAAGTAAAACTCTCTTAAACAAATACTGCTCCTTCAGGGACTTTCTAGTTCTTATTCAGAAGAAAATCCCCCATGTCCAAACCGTTCCTGGCACATACCAGATGCTTAAAATGCCCTCGGACGAGGATAAAAAAAAAAGATATTGAATGAACAAGTTGCATCTGAGCTTCAGAGAACCCAGGGTTGTGATGTCATTAAGAAAAGGTTACACAGGGGAGGGGGCAGGAGGGCGGGAGGAGATGAACCAAAGAACTTACATGCATGTATGCACAACCCACAGACACTGAACAACAGGGCAGTGAAGGCGGGGGGTGGGGCGAGAGCAGGAAGGAGGGTGTCTGGTGGAATAAAGGAGGGACATCCGTAATACTTTCAACGATAAAGATAAAAAAAAAAAGCGCAAAATGACAAATATCTGGCACCGTGCTCCCTAGTCAGTGATCTGCCCACTGAACGCCCTCCTTAGTGACTGCTCAGGGGCGATGTCCCGTGTGTGTGTGGGGGGGAGGGGGGGGGCTAAGGTGCTCCCGGACAGAACTGCACTTGGCACACAGCTAGGGGTGCTTGTTCTCAGATGTGTGCGAGGGGGTGCCAATGTTCTCCTATTGCATATGTTGTCGGACTGATGCTTCCCTATGCCCAGTTCTCCGGGCAGGATTCCTGGGCCTGCGTTCTCCAGCTTCAGCAGCCTGGGGCCTGGGCTCTCTGCCCTGCCCCCACTTTTTTTTTTCTTTTGCAGTCTAGCCTTGCAAAGCAACCCAGAGCAGGTACCCCAGCCTGTCCGCACCGGTGCCAGGGAGAGGCCTCAGGACGGGCGCCTGCCCGTGTGCACCGGGCCCTGCCCCGGTGCATGCGCCCGTGCGCGCAGGGCGAGGCTGGGGTCCCGCGGTGGCTGCGGCTACAGGAACACCCTCTCGTGCCCATGTCGAGAGGACCCTGGAGGTGCTGCTGGAGATGAAGAGGAGTCGGCATGTGGCTTTGCTTCTCGGACACCGAGCTATGGAGGGGAGGTGCGCGCTTGGGGATCTAGCAGCTGAAGCGGCGGCTGGAACCAGAAAGGGACCCGGAGCTGGGGCTGGAGGGGGTTATCGAGCCGAAGAGCGTTGTAGAGCCAAAGGGAGGGTTAGAGAGGGCCGGGGAGGCACATCTTGTTTTCGTCTCCTCTACCTAGTGTCTTCGCAGACTAGAACCCAGGGAAGCTCGGCTCTACGGCCCCCTCGCCCCCTCCGACCCGCGGCCGGGTCCCCGGGCCCCACCCTTATTCCTTTTCTGTACTTCAGTCCTTTCGAAATTGAGGTCTCCCTGCCCCCCTCGCATCGTTTTCCTGTTCTTCCCTCCCCGTCCGCGGGCCTTCCACCCAGACCCCGCCGGCGGCACTGCGGTTCCTTTGCGCGGGCGCGCGGCACCCAGCCCGCTCCGAGGCCGTCGGGTGTTCCCTCCAGCTGGCCATTCTCCGCTCTTTCCCCCATTTCAACGCTCCCTCTCCCCGCCCCCGCCTCCGCGAGCTCGGGCTGGGGTCGCCTGGGTGAGGCGCGGAGCCCAAGGCTGTCCCTGGCGCCCTTCCTCGCCGTTCTCCAGCGCCCCAGCTCCAGGACCGCACCCCACCCCCACCCGCAGCGGGCGAGAGCCGGGGAGGCCTCCCGGGAAAGGCAGGTGCGCCCCCGGCCCGCAGGGTGGGGTCCGACCTCGGACCCGCCGGGAAAGCCAACCCCTCCCCAAGCGCTGCGCGGCGCGTTCCCAGGGCGCCCGCGGACCGGTTGTCGGGCGGAGAGGCTCGCAGGGCATCTGGGCCCCGCCCTGGCGCAGGCTCCCACCTGGCTCCGGTCGTCCGCGGCTGCGGCCTCTTCCCCACGCCGCCTCGGGTTGCTGCAGCCCGCCGGGTGCCCGCAGTTTTCACCAGGGGTGGGAGGGGAGGGGCTGGGAGGGCCCGCGGCTCGGCCAATCAGAGCTGAGGGGAGCGAGCCGGGGTGGCAGGAGGGGGAGGTGGCGGCCCAGCGTGGGTGCGGAAGGGTGGCAGTGTGCTGCAGAGGGGGCCTCGCCCTGGGCGGACAGGCCTCGCCGGTGACCCCGATCGGCTGGGCAGCGTGGGGGCGGCCGCCCAGAGCCCCACAGGGATCGCTCCCCTCTGAAGGCGTTCACCCCCTTTTCCCAGCCCAGGCTTCTAACGGCCGTGGGAAAGCCAAGGGCCAGGAGGGGAGGACGGAGGCCCGCAGGTCCCCTTGGGCCGTGCGCTCACCTCCTGGCTTCCTTGTCGGCTGGAGCTGGACCCCAGGGCGCTCCAGTCAGAGCTCGTGGAGTTGGAATTTGCCACGCGAGGGTAGTGGGCTGTTTTCCCACATCGGAACAGCCCCCGGGAGGCTCCGCACCCAGTGTTCCCACGTCTCCCGCCCTGCCCCACCCCGTCCTCATCCCAGGACACTCAGTTTCTCTGGGTTGCTGGCCTGGCACCTCCCTGTGCAGGGGGAGCGAGAAGGTTCTAGATTTCCTGCCCTCCTGCCCACCCCCAGTCCCTCAAGCCCCAAGCCCTGTGCCGGGCATGCTGCATCCATGCCTGCGTCCTCGCCCAAACACTCTGCTGGACTTGAAATCGGACAATGGATGGGTCTGGCCGCCGGTCACTACCTGAGCCAATAAAGCAGAGACAAGGTTGAGTGGTACATAAGCGTTTATTCCAGTACTGCCGGCAGTATGGGCAGGGGTGGGGCATCTTGTAACATCCGTTCTGTCCACCCCCCACTTACCAGCTGCTTTTGTTTTTGTTACAGATGCTTCTCCGGATCCTCCCCACCCCCCAGCATCGTTGTGTATGTCCATGGTTATCATGCATACATATAAGTTCTGTGGTTTACCTCTTCCTCCCCCTGCCCTTCAGAGGTCTGTCAGTCTGCACCCTACTTCTGTGTCTCTGGGTCTATTTTGTTCCTCAGCTTGTTTTGTTCATTATATTCCACAAATAAGTGAGGTCATGTGGTATTTGTCTTTCTCTGATTGGCTTGTTTCGCTTAGGATAATACTGTCCAGGTCCCTCCATGTCCTCTCAAAGGATAAGGGATCTTTCTTTCTTACAGCTGCGTAGTACTCCATTGTGTATATGTACCACAGCTTTTTTATCCACTCATCTACTGATGGACACTTGGGCTGTTTCCAGATCTTAGCTATTGTAAATAGTGCTGCTATGAACATGGGGGTACATATATTCTTTCTGATTGCTGTTTCAGGCTTCTTAGGGTATATTCCTAGAAGTAGGATCACTGGGTCAAATGGAAGTTCAATTTTTAACTTTCTGAGGAAACACCACAGTGTTTTCGGCTGCACCCGTCCGCATTCCCACCAGCAGTGCACTAGAGTCCCCTTTTCTCCACACCCTCGCCAGCACTTGTTGTTTGAGGATTTGTTGATGGCGGCCATTCTTGCCAGCTGCTTTCAGAGGCTAGAGGCACAATGCCCACCTGAGAGAGGACAGTGAGGGCAAAAAGGGAAAATTGATTACGGAGAAGAGGGGAGGAGTTGGCTGGGGGTGATTGTAAAAGGTGTTGGGCAAAGGGGGACGGAGTTTGTCTGGGGGCTGCAGAAGCTGGTCGCCAGTGAGTGGCAGTCAGGAGTAGAGTCAGGTGGTTAATTTACCACGATGTCTGCAGTCCCCTTGTCCTCAGATCAGAAGGGACAGCAGTCCTGAGGTCGGCTGCCGAGGACCCCCAGTCAGCTCGGAGCGGGCTTTTCTTTCATCCGAACACAGCAAGCACGGCGAACGCGGTGAAGGATGAGAAACCGTTTTTCTAACCATGGCTAAGGCCCCGCTAGGATTTGTTTTCTTACTCGTCTAGTATCTTCTATGAAGTCGAATATTCTTTTCTGCCCCTTCCAGAGTCATCTCATCCCATTTCATGGCTCGTAGGTGGGAGAGCTGGCCAGTCTACCTGGGCTGTGGAACCCCAACTCCTTAGGGCTGAGCCACCCCACTGCCACGTCCTAGCCCAGGAGGAGGGGGGATTGTGGAACTGGGGGACCGGGGTGGGGGTGGGGACTGACTAGAAAGGAATAGTGAAGACCAAGCTTTTTTTTTTTTTTAATCCTCACCTGAGGACATTTCTGCATTTATCTTCAGATAGAGCGGGAGGGAGAGAGGGGGGAAGAGAGACAGAAACATCGATGAGAGAGAGACCCATGGACTGGCTGCCACCCACATGACCCCAACCGGGACCAACTGCAACCGAGGTACGTACCCTTCGCGGGAACCGAACCCGGGACTTTCTGGTCTGCAGGCTGATGCTGTAACTGCTGAGCCAAACCGGCCAGGGCAGAGACCAAGTGTTTAATCTCCTGGGTCACCTGCCCGAGCCCCATCAATCTGATGTCATCAGAAGCTCTTGGGTCTTCTCCTTTTCACCGCAGTGCTGAGCTGTCTCTCCCGCCCACAGGTGAGGGGACTTTTTGCACAAAGGGCTATTTTGTTTATTTGCATTCTCATGGCCGCTTGGTGAATTCTGGTCAGGACAGCCTGTGGGTCGGCCGGGCCTTCCTGCCGTCTGCCGGCCGGTTCTCCTGTTCATAGAAGTCGGCCCTGGCACTTGGCTGCGGGTTCGGTCACTGTAATGGCCCTGTTGGACGTCGTCCCTGGGCTAGCGCGCTAGCGAGCGGGAACTTCTCTTCCCTCTCCAGCCTTAGAGACTGGACGGCTGCCCAGAACTCGGTGATGGAACTTTCTAACTGGAAGGAGCCTCTTGGGTGGCCAGAGCCAGGGCCATTTGCGCTGGTGAACGCCAGAGGCCCGGGGCGGTTAATGCAGCTGCCCTGCCCACCTGGGGTCTCTGCAGCCCCGGGGGGGGGGGGGGGACGGGAGGGGGGGAGCTGGCCAGCTGCAGGTTCCCAGGTCCTCAGGGTCTGAGGCTGCAGGACACGCGTCTCCATCAGGTGCTTCTCTTCACATGGGGCTTCTCATTGTGGTGGGCGGTGGGGTCACTGTTATGGCTGCCCCCCCATCTTTCCCATTCGTCCTGCTGCATTCCAGACACGGCCTCCTTCCTGTCCTCCGCGCAGTCTGCCTTTTCCTGCTTAACTGCTTTACGGTTGACGTCCAGGGGTCTTTCCTAATGGAACGTAATGGCTTTCGCTTGGGGCCTTGTCCCTGCTCTGTCTCTTTATTTCTCCCTCTCCCTCCCTGTCCCCCCCCCCCCCGCTCCTCTCCCTCCCCCTCTCCTTCCCTCTCTCCCTGCCTCTCCCTCTCCCTCTCTCTCTCTCTCTCTCTCTCACCCACACCCACACACAGGAGCTGGGACGACTCCTTTTCGTTGGCAGGACGTGGGGATAGCCGGAGGCCCATCAGCTACAGAAGGTATCTGGGCTCTGGCAGGCTGAGACCCTTTATGCTCTTTCCCTCTGTGCAGCCCAGGCCTGAGCTGGGTGGAAGGCCTCGCTGTGCTACTTTGATGAGGTTATGAGCTCCTGGCCTAGTTTCTGGGTCCCCAAGCACTGCACCCCAGGAAGGGAGGGGTGTGTGTGCTCGGTGGGGGGGGGGCACAGCTGCCCGTCTGCTGAACACGGTCTCAGGCTGGTTGCGTTAATGGCTCAGAAGCGACGGTCTGGGAACAGGAGGAGATTAAAAACCCCCGTTTGCGAACAGGGCATGATGGAAAGGCTGAGAGCAGGGAGCGTGGAGAGGTATCGACCCAAGACAGACTTCGCTGCCCTGTCGACTCCTTAGATCGTTTCTCTCCCCTCATCTTCGGGGCTCCAGCTGGAAGCACACAGGAGGAGAATTTCCCTGAAACGCACGCCCCGGTGGGACGAAGGGAACACCACCTCATTCTCCTTCGATTTCATCGCCCCGTTCTTCATAGGAGCACAGAGGCGGTGGGCGCCATCCCATCCTCGCAGGGCTGGGAACCGAGGCCCGAGAAGACGGCTGATCTGTCAGAGGCTAGACAAATACTTTGGGGCACGGCTAGGAGTAGCTAGATCCCAGATCTCCTGGCTCCACAGAGAGTGCTCTCCACGGCTCCCCGGGGGGATCTTCCGTCTGCTAGACTGATTTTTCACTTTTCTATCCTCACCCAAGGACATTTTTGCATTTATCTTTAAATAGAGCAGGAGGGAGAGAGGGAGGAAGAGAGAGAGAGAGAAACATCAACACGAGAGAGACACATTGACTGGCTGCCACCCACACGACCCCAGTCGGGGCCGGGGACAAACTGCAACCGAGGTCCGTGCCCTTAGCAGGAACCGAACCCAGGTCTCTCTGGGCCGCGGGCTGACGCTCTAACCGCTGAGCCAAACTGGCCAGGGCTGCTAGACTGATTTTACTGGTTCATGGCAAGATAAGGCCAACAAGGCCACTGTGCTGTGGACTGGACAGAGATGCCAGGTTGCCACCTTGTTCTGGTGACCTCTTCACTCTTGATGAGGGAGGGATTCCCAGGCCAGGGTTTTGGAGATGGCCGAGCATACGGCCTGTGGTGCTGGCAGGTGAGGTCAGCATAGTTTACTCGTCTTACATACTCGCAGCCCAGAGGAGGAGACCCCGGGCCACGCAGGTCCACTTGGACTTGAAGTGGGAGCAGAGTGACCAGGCTGTGGGAAGCTCTGCTCCCCAGGGGAGGATGGGCCGGGCTCTTTTGACTGATTCTGTGGGCTGGCAGGGAACTGAAACCCTCTGCTACAGGCTGATCAGGAGAACTGACGGTCAGACCACTTGAGGCCCTCCGGAAATGACCAGATGTCAGGACAGCACATATTCTTGAACCCTAACTTTGGGCTAATGGCTACCCGCCCCCCTTTTCTTTGGGAAGGCTTGTATTTTCAGTCTGAGGTTATACCTTTCTGCTTTTCCGAAGGGGTGGTGGTAGATGGTATGTGTGGCAGTGTCTTTGCTGGGCAGAAAAAA